TTCATATAGCACATTTTTCATGATTCAGTACTGTTTTTTTGTTTGGTTTTTGTAATAAAGTTTAGTACTATTTTACATGTAGTGTTATGTTTTAATTTAGTTTTTTTTTTTTTAATCCAGTATCCATTTTAAAAACTATCGGTTAATTAATCGGTTATCGGCAAGTACGGACCAACCTAGCTATCGGTATCGGTAAAATTCAATATCGGTCAACCTCTAATATTAATGTATATTACAGCTGTTAAGGGATGTTAGGATGTTAAAGTGTAGTTTCATGCTGCTAGGGTGTTAGGATGTAAAGGTATACATGCATGATATTTATGAATGTTTTCTGAATACTTAATGAATACATTATGAAGGTGTACTGAACGTTTTATGAATGCAATATAAAAGCATTATGAAGGTGTAGTTAATGTAAAGCATTACCGGTTATTTGAAGATTTTTTTTTTTTATTTATTTTGATTTGGAATTTTTTTAACACTATTTTATTCAATTTCAGTTGCACTGTTAAGAAGAGGACACATTTTGCACAATTTAGAGAGATAAAGGAATATTTTTGAATAAATTTGTCTGCAGCACATTCTGTTAAAAAATCGTGAGAAAATCATATCGTGAACCCAGATTTGTGAATCGTATCAAATTGTAAGTGGAGTGTATCATTACATCCCTAATAGACACAGCTACAGATATTCATAAAAAGGCATAACACATTATAGCCATGTTTCTCAGGCATTATGAATGTTCTACTCTGGAATATTTTAGCACACAATGCTGCAACCTGGACAATCCAATCGAGTAGGTTCTTTCGAATGCAAAGATATGCGATTCATGTCTGTGCAATATACCTACCCAAAGTTATGAGCCTGAGGTTAATGGGTGCGAAAATCAACACATTTTGTCAGGTTCGCGGGATTACCAAACATATGAATATTAAGCCGTTGTGATAAATATTAAGACTTTTGATGAGTAGTCTTGACTGGTCTTGAAATAAAAGTCCTTTATGTCCAAGACTGAGACAAGACAGAGTCAAAATAAAGTCAACTGCAAGATGAAACCATGACTGCAAAAAAGTGGTCTTGAGACCGGTCTTGAGTACCATAACACTACTGTGTAGTAACACATTATTTAGCCACAAAAGCTGAAACTATTGGTTTTGAAGAGGATGTATCATGTCTGTCTTTAGTACACTGACATTCCCTTTGTGTTGGAATTCCACTTACTATGTCAGAACTTGATTTGCTCTTAGGCTCTCTTGACTGTGTCTTAATAAATTAAATGACAGCCACTTGTCTGCCTTGTCCCAGGTCAGTTTGTGAGGTGTAATGCACTGTCTGCTCCTTGTTTCAATCTCCTGTTGTACTGTATCACACCTGATGTCAGAATTTTTGAAATTTGTTATTTTTATGATTGTAATGGCTAGAAAGGCACAGCTAACGAATGAATGGAGGGCTCCTATCAAAATTTTGAGCTAAGAAGGGTTCTCTCATCGGCAAATAATCATAAAGTTAAATGTTCCTAAGCATCGAGTGACCTACTGTTTACAGAGAAAAAGGTTGACAGGAAGCAACAGTGACCCGAAACAGTCTGGAGCAAGGAAAGTGACATCAAAGGCTGAAGATCAACACTTAGTTGTGGCGCGCAAAAGAAATTGGAAGATGACTGTAATAGTCTGAATACTGCGATTAATGTGAACAGAGGGAAACTTGTATCTCTTAATACAGTCAAGCAAAGACTGAGAGCAGATGGACTGCATGGTCGAGTTGCTGCCAGAAAACCTTTACTTCATGGTGTTAACAAGAAAAAGAGACTGATATAGGCTAAACAGCACAAACACTGGAGTATTCAGGACGGGGAGCAAAGTCCATCCATGGGACGAGTTGGACCAATAAGTTTAAAATGAGCATGTTGCAAATGAGACAGAACTGCATGCTTGAAATGGTGCTGGAAGGGTTTAGAAACAAGTTATTTACAAAAATTGCTGGGAAGGATGCTGTGAATCTGTGCTGCAGGCAAGGAGTCATTATTTAGATGAAACTCATACTTAGGCACTCGCATTCATTAAACTGCACTTACAATGAACAGTAAATAAAAAAAGTCAGTTACATTTGTTTTAAGTATTTCTAATATTTTCTTGTAATAAAACTTAAAAGCAATAAAAGAAAAAGCAGTGTGTCATTTATTAAAAAAAAAATCTGAGTCTGGGCCCAAACTGGCCTTTAGAGTGAGTGTGTGTGTGTGTGCGTGTATGTGTGTATGTGCGTGTGTGTGTGTGTGTTATGTATAGTGAAATGCTTTTCCTTAACTTTATACCTCAGTTAAACATGTTTCAGAAACAACCCCTTAAAATCTTTGGTCCCTCAGTGTTGCACGACATGAGTCATCCAGCTGCATTCAGAGAAGGAAGTGCAGGAATAGCGTTCCAAAGGCGATATGTGGTGATTGATATTGCATGGAATGAGGTAGCCAGCATACCTCTCTCTCTCTTTGCCCTGTGGAGGTGTTAGGATATTCCGATGGATGATGTCGTCCCTCAGTCTACTCAAGAGAGCTGCTCTTGTTCCGTCAGCCCACCTGTTATAAACAGGAAATGAATAGTAACAGAAAATGAGCTGGGGGGGGCTGGGGTGCTAAAGGCTCAGAGACCTTATGAATATTCATGAGCAGCAGTATCAGAGGGCTCATTGCAGAAGATAATTTTCATTTTTTTTTTTCATCAGCAGAGAAAGCTGTATAGTTCAACTTGAAATGAAGCCTAGAGATTTGAGGGAAAAGCCATCGTTGTCATCTTAGAAAATGGACACTCATAAATGCTGGGTAATGCTGGATGGATCGTTGCCCACTACCCATCTCTAGCTGATAAGCAGAGCGGCAGCAGTGAGATATGGTATTCCTTTGGTTCTAAACTGAAAGAAAAGGGTGAATCCGCAGGCTCACAGCCCCAGAATGTATAAATAAGGAGCTTAAAGTTCATCAGTAGTGCATGACAACCGATGTAAGATGTGGCAGTAGTGCTATTTACTGGATATTAGGTATCATGTTTCTGTTTAAAAACATGTTTACATGCGAGTTCCTGCAGTAACAAAAAGTAGGCTGGGCGAAATGTCAGAACAAACACAAATATAAATGTAACATGACTGTATTATCCGTGAGGTCATTTTAATATCAAAATCAAGGCATTGAATAGTTTAATTAATCAATGTGTACTTCACTGATAATGTTCAAGTTGTATCATAGGTTTTTACTGTTGGTTTAATTCATAAATATTTGTTTATTATTTTTAACAGGGACTGTTTTACATAATCGATGTAGTATCCAGGTCAAAATATTGGTATCGACTCTCCTCTACTTGCTGTACCATATACACCCAAGACAACGCCATACTCAGTTTAGCTAGCAAAGTAATTACAGCAGTACAATAGTGCACTTCTGTTACTGCTGTTATTGATGCAGAGCGGCTACTCCGTGTGGCTTTCTCAGGCAGACTCATGTCAAGAGATTATCTCGCATTGGTGGGAGACACCCCCCCCCCCCCTCAAAAGCCTGAGGCCATAATAGCAGGTTTAAACTCAGAGATGGGGGATGAAGACAGACGTGTAGCCGATGGCTGCAGAACATGTGGGGAGGGATAACAGCATGAGACCTCAGCCAAAACGAGACGGCGAGGCTGGGATGAGCTCTCCAGCTCCCAAGCCCACATAAAACCTAAAAAAAGGTAGCAGGAACTTTTCCAGCGACTGTCAAATATATTATTTAGTTCCCTTCCATATCCCAAGTATTATTGTGCTGTTTTGAAGTATGACATAAATCAGGAGTTCTTAAGTCCAATTTTCATTTGACCACTGGGTCAGACTTAATTAACAGCAAAGGGGCAGCTGGAGGCACACAAAGGGGGGGTGGGGGGGGATCCCGACTCGGGCCTGCAAAGCATTACTTTATGGTTTTGAGGTCTGTGTAATGGGGTGCATGCTGTCAGACTGTTCACCCACCTCGGTGGGCATGTCTGTGCCAGACAGGGCTGCAAACACAGCTGGGATGATGCCCGTCTGCTGGGATTGTGCAGAAGCCAGAGCGGAGGTTTAAACAAAATGCCATCTGCGTGGGGCGGCAGTGAACGGAAGCTGTTCACCATCAATCATCTTTTTTCTTTTTCCAAAGGAAAACGTGACGCACGGGCAGCGGTGACCCGGGAACGTTCTTGGATCACATGTGTAATGATGACACAGATGGGTTTCAGGATTTTTTTCTTTTTGTTTAAACTTACTGGATGAAAGATTGCAGGACACATAAAATCCCAGTTTAGTGCCCCCTGTTTTTGAAGCCGAAGCAGGCTTACAGAAGCCAGAATGACATTTAAAACCTACATTCATATATTCCACATTTTACTCATTGTGTACATGCTCTGGGATGGACTAGCATCCCATTGAGGTTGTGCCTCAACCCTGTGCCCTTTGCTCCTAGGAACAGGCACCAGGGTCCCCTGACAGTTAGGAGATGGATGAACAGATGGATGGATGGATGGATGAGTGAGAAGATCCTAGTGTGTGGTCGGAGTGAATCAGGGGAGCAGTGGATGTGCTATCTTACCCTCTGTCCCGCTCAGCTGCTGCTGAGGACAGGGACTGCCTGGGATACAGCATGTCCACCAGGGAGAGCAGGTCGGCCTCTGGGGAGGCAGGCAGTAGAAGCCCCAGGGTCTCTAGGAGGGTGCCGGCTGACACCTGGGTCCACTTCACTAGGCCTGCCATGAAATCCAGCTCCTGCAGAGGTGAAAAGTATCGCCAGAGACTGGACTGAGGCCAGAAGGTGGCCAATTCAAGCACACAACCTCTGGTGTGGCCCGAATGAACCTGAGGCATGCAGGATGTCGGCAGCATTTAAGGGGCTTCTGGGTTCCAGACTAACTACCCTTACTGAAGATTTCAGGAACGGCAGAACAATTCCCCTCTGTAGTCGTGCATTTTAAAATGCACAATGCCCACTTAAACCATGGGTATTACACATGTTGCTTACATGCTTGTACGTAAAGGCTGGCCTTTGGATTTAACTGCAGGTAATTTCCAAACTAATGACTGGCTTACCATCTTAGCAATGGAGTATTGGGTCATATATAACCAAAATATTTAATAGTAATAGGTGATGTTTCATTTTTGATGCCGTCCTGACATTATCTTCAGGTAAACCTTATTTTGTATTTTAAAAAGCAATGCTATTCCGGTATTTTGTAATGGTGTAAGAGGAGTTGTTGTGCATTAACCCTTACATAGCTGATGTGAGCGTAGGAATCGACAAGAGGGTCCATAATTCAAACATGTTATTGAATTCCTGGTTCTTAAAAATTTAGAACAGTTTATCATTTTGAACTGGTTCTCAATACCCAACCCTACACACCAATCCTCGCCCCTCCTGGTGCTACATGTGATATTCAATGATGGTTTTAAAAACAAACAAACAAATAAATGGCAAATCACACTGGTGTGCCTCGTCATAAAATTTAGTTGCACTATCTCCAAAAACGGTCACAAAATGTGACTAAATGGCCGCAGTCAGGAGCAATGGTCTCTTGTGTTTGCATTGCTAGGATTTCACATAATACTTATGTCTATTCGACACATTCCCTTCTACATCACTTTTTAATGAAAATATTTCCACAAATTTCTCCTGCACTCTTATTTTTTCAGACGGCTCATGCTCCCATAAAGTTTCCCTGGACCTTTCCGTTACTGTTACGTAACAACTAGTTCATATAGGACTTGAGAAACCCATGTCCTAAAATTCATTCATATTCCATGGTTAACAATGTACTCCTTGATGCCTATAACCTGAAAAGAACTTTCTGGAAGTACACAAAAAAGTATGCAAGAAAATACTACACATGATTAACATAAAAAAAACAAATATCCGTGTGTATGTGTGTGTGTGTGTGTGTATATATATACTGTATATACACACACACACACACACACACACACAGTGGTACCTCAGAACTCGAACTTAATCCGTTCAGAACTCCGGACCGAATCCTAAAAAGTTCGAGTTCTGATCGAATTTCCCCCATAAGAAATAATGGAAAAACCTATTAATTGCCCCCCCAAAAATATGTTTTTTTAGCATTTAAACACAAAATGAACCGGATAAAACAAGAACATATACTGTACACATGTAAGCACATTTATCAAAACAGTAATTTGTAAAGTAAGAAAATAAATGTATCCAAAAAATGTGTCCTGCCCCGATCGTCCGCTCTATCCGTGTGCCACGCCCCCTTTTTAACCCCGTGTGGAATCCCAGTCTGATCAGCTGTTTCTGGTTGTTGTCATTAGCCCTCTGTATTTCGTCCGCGTTTCAGTTTGTTTCCCCAGCCCGGTCATTGTATTGTCCGTCTGCGTTTGCTTGCCTTACCTGTAATTAAACCCCGTATTCCCCGATACCCTGACGTCTGCGCCTTTGTCTCCGTTCCGTCCCCGCTTGGCCCGACAATATTATTATAATTAAATGTATTAATGGTTTATTATTAATATTAAAATAATGAATAAGAAATTTTTATTTTTAAATGTATTTTATTATATAATAATAATTACTAAATGTATTATTACTGTCTAAATATATGTATTCAGCTAGTGTAAACATGCACGATGCTATCACAGCGAATGCGAGACTGAGACTGAAGCGTTACCCTTTGTTTCCACTGAGAGACGTGAGTCATTTCCCCGCATGTACAAGTTATCTTAGGTCGGCGTTCACGGTTTGACTTCTGAGATTCAGATCGAGTTCTAGGTAATTTTTTTTCGAACTGGTTGGTTTGACTTTTAAGAAATTCGAGTTCTAATGAGTTCAAGAACTGAGATACCACTGTATATGTGTGTATATATATATATATATATGTAACCTCCTGAGACACCACCCATTCATTTATGTCCATTGTAGTGGACATTTTATTTTTGCATCTATCTTTTCACTGATGTTAGGAAACGTATTTATTCCTGTTGTACATTAAAGAGGACATGCTGTGAAATTAAAAATTTCAATACATTTGAAAAAATCTAAATTGTAAGATGTCTTATTTCCTCCAAAGACAAATAACCTAAAATTGAAGGACACCTTTTTCCTTGGGTCTCAGGAGGTTACACACACACACACACACACACACACACACACATATATATATATATACACATATATATGCTAACCAATATTGAATTATTCCTATGTTATGAAAATAATCTATCAAATTACCAAGTCTTTCTGCGGAAGAAGTGAATCTTTTTTTCCATCTCAGTGACAGACCCAGGAATATGTGAACTCTGCTTAATAAATTGGCACCATGCTGGTAAACATGGTGTTGGATCAGGACCTCATGTGAATGACTAATGCTGTCAACTGACCAAATCGGCGACCCACTGGCCTGTATGAGATGCCATGGATACGCGTGACAGCATCTCCCTGTGACCATACACCCACGCGCGTGACGGCATCTCCCTGTGACCATACACCCACACGCGTGACGGCATCTCCCTGTGACCATACACCCACACGCGTGACGGCATCTCCCTGTGACCATACACCCATACGCGTGACGGCATCGCCCTGTGACCATACACCCATCCAATCACAGGCTACGGTTTAATTATTGCCCTTGAGGCGGCTGCTCCATTATTCACCAACCAAAGACATACGCGAATGCCACAGGCAGAAGTGAACGAAGAAGTATCCGCTTCACACCTGGTAACGGTGGTGATATTATGAGATATACTCTCCAGTGTGTAAGATATACTCCAGATATACTCTCCAGTGTGCTCAAACTCACTATTAATCCATTAAAAATCGACAAAGTGAACGACCATAAGGAACCTAACAGAAGCGCGGAGAAGGCTGTGCGGAGGGGATTTTCGGCATCAGTCTTGGCACAACTCTTGGATGTTGATGTGCTAATTAATTCCGATCTGTGCTCCCATAATCCATCATGTCTGACCAATAGGGCTGTGGCGACTCCCTGGAAGGCGTCTTGCCGCAGACTGACTGCTGCTCACACCATACTTCTTGTCAGTGGGCTTTAACTGTATTTAGGCCGTTTCACTGCCGCTCACACATACTCAGAAAGTACAGCGGGGAGTAAGCATGGAAGTACAGCATGTTAAACCAAGAAACAGCTTCCGATCCCTTCCCCACTATACACGCACACACACACACACACACACACACATATAGGGTAAACATATCCTTATGGGGACCGCTCATTCATTTCAGTGGGAAAAATGCTAACGCTAACTATGACAACCTTAACCCCCACCCTGCCCTAACCATAACCATAAGTAACCTAACAAAAGACAAGAGTTTTTGCATTTTGAGTTTTTTCATAGCAGTCACCGATTTTTATAAGAGTTTTCCCTTATGGGGACCAGGAAACCGGTCCCCATAAGGGAAAAAAAAACGGATATTTATCACGTTATGAGGACATTATGTCCCCATAAGGATAGGTAAACCCGCTCTCACACACACACACACACACACACACTCACGCACACTCACGCACACGCACTCACACACACACACACACACACACACACACACACAGACACAGACACAGACACACACACACACTGGAGAATGTCTTCTAATTTCTAATAAGGACAAATTTCACTCAAGATATTTTTAAGATGATCAAATTATTTTGCCCGACTAAATCTGGTTTAGATGACTTGCTCACCCTGGCTATACAGGCGGCTGCCAGGTTAAGAATGTCTGTCTTATGTCTTATGACATATAGCCTATTATACAAAAATTTAGGTTAAATACACAAATATTAAATTGCTTGAAATAATGAAGGCACCCACTACTTTGTCATGCTCGTAAAAACATTGCGAATTGCGAGGCTTCAGCAGTTCGTCATTTCGAGGTATAGTACAGAGCCCTATGCAGTTACTTTTATTATTACCATATTGTAGGAGCCTAAATGCTTTTCATATGATAAGGAGGGCGGGGTCACGTGGTTAGGGGAAGAGGTTAGATTGGAGCGAAATAGTTTTTTGACCTCCTGAAAAGATTGCTCTTGAATTTGGATATAAATGTATTTATTTAATTTTATTTTATTTTGTGGATAAAATCTTATGTTTGTGATATTGGTAAAAGGCTCTAAGTAAACAGTTAATTTTGCGAAGCAGTTTCTTGGAGTTTAAATGCAGTGGATCGGGACGGGAGAATCTTTCGAGCGTCAAGCTAAGCTTCATTAAGAAACACAAGAACCTACANTGTAGGAGCCTAAATGCTTTTCATATGATAAGGAGGGCGGGGTCACGTGGTTAGGGGAAGAGGTTAGATTGGAGCGAAATAGTTTTTTGACCTCCTGAAAAGATTGCTCTTGAATTTGGATATAAATGTATTTATTTAATTTTATTTTATTTTGTGGATAAAATCTTATGTTTGTGATATTGGTAAAAGGCTCTAAGTAAACAGTTAATTTTGCGAAGCAGTTTCTTGGAGTTTAAATGCAGTGGATCGGGACGGGAGAATCTTTCGAGCGTCAAGCTAAGCTTCATTAAGAAACACAAGAACCTACACATATTATTACTATTAATTATTATTATTATTATTATTACATACTGTATTATTATTTTTCCATCTTACCCACAAATTTTACTTAAAGACAGTTAGGATCTAATTCATAACTTGGCGACTGCCTCTATATCAGAATTTGCCCCCACAGATGTTCTCTGAAGAAAGGGGCCGTCTGCCACTTTCCTCAGGATTCCTTGATAAAATAGCTTCAGTACCAAAGCGAGGTGGAGGCGTTCATGGCTCAAAGACCTCAGTTGTGCTGCCCACTCCTCCAGTCTGGAGAAGCCAAAGTTACTTTTGCTCCGCAACCCAAATCGCTGCAAGCACAAGCCCTACCCACCGAGCTCTGCGTGCCTCTGGAGGGCCTACCAATGTTTACCTGGTCCAGATGTGTGTAGATACCCTTCAGCTCCAACTGCTCCTTAAGATCTTCGATCACCTGGCTTCTTTCATTCTCATCACGCAACCTAGACGGTGGTTTGAATGGGGAGAGAGAGGTGTAAACACCAGGTATTATTTTCTAGAGAGGGAAAAATCATAATGCTATAAGTTTATCTGGCCTTCCCAGGCGCTCCATTCCATTATGCCAGTGTCTAATGAAAACCCTGAAACCTGCTCGTTATTAACACTGTTCCCATCGCCGAGAGTGAATTCTCTTAAGGACTGCTTACCCCACCAATCAGCTTTCGGCAAAGTTGTGCGTCAAGCCATCTAATTGAGTTAGCCGAATCAAATAAGCGTTCACATGTGCTGAAGGGTAAACACACATCTATTTCCAGAGCTATGTCATCTCTATCTTGTACATCCTGCAGCTGTATAATTTGTTCTCCATGTCTTGCAAATTTAAACAGTCATCACATCTATTTCATCCTTGGAAGACTCTCAGATGACCTTATGTCTGATTCTCCTACTGGAAGCCCATGTTTTTTATTTGGGAATGATGTACAGAATCTCCATACAAGCCTCTGTAACTCAGCTTCACCACATGTAACAGCGAGAAGCCTTGTTCTTCTCAGTCTCCACTGACTTACTGCCCGGCCTGTACCTCTGCCCCCCGACCCCTGCTGGTGCCACCAGGGCCTTTGTTGTTCTCCTGACTCTCTAATAGGCTCCAGCTGTTGGCTTTCTGCCTGGGTGGGAGCTGTGCCAAGCAGAGAGGCAGGGACAGAACAGGCTGAGGAGGAAGGTACAAACCTAATGGATGGTGACATTTCAGGTGGGATGGTGATAATTCAAGCAAACATGGGAGAGTGATGCCAAAGACCAAAGGGGGTAAGAACCAGCAGAGCATCCCAGCAGCTGTCTTTCCAAGATCCTTTGAACCCCATTCTCTGTAGTGCCACCTTCAGGCAGATTAGCACAGAAAGCTCACGGCAAACAAACACACCTCTCTGTGAGTGCTGTGGTGACCTGCTCGCACTTGCGCAGCGCCTCCTGGAGGCCCACGGAAATCCTGCAGTCTTCTTCTACGTGGAACATGCCGTTCTCTCCTGCCTTGTCCAGAATGTCATCAGACACTGGGTGGCCTGTCGCTAAGGCCTCCCATTCTGTCCTCTCCCTCTGCAACAGGAGGTCTGCCTCTTCAAGGCCCTGGAGGCAGAGGGTGACAGAAGGCAGGTCAGAGAAGATGCTGTCTCTCCGCCCAAGCACACTGTAGGGAGTCACTGGTCGTTTGCTCCACAAAATACAGTCTTTATTGATATTTGTAGCTGTACATTAATTATAATTATTAATTATTTAGATATCTACATTTAAAGCATAACTGCACAGGTAAGCAGACTGAGCAAGGTATTGTGGTAGAAAAATCAATGATAATGCAAATACAATTATAATTTCAATCAGTAATTACCAAAGAAATTCATAATGACACTGTTGATTTAATTACAATGATTATAATGATTAATTTCTGCTTTGGAATAGTTATTATACTAAACATGTAATGCAATAATGCAAGCTTGCTGAAGTAATGGGTTTTTCACTTTTAAAATTAGAAGCATTTTATGAGGAACTAACATATCATAGCTTAATCTGCAAAAGGACCGGATAAAGGTGCAGACCTGATCCAAGAAGTTAGGACTGTTACAGATACCAATATTAGACATTTCTGTGCTGATGTCATATGTTAAGGATAACTAGAGAGGGGCATAAGGGAATATAGAGGAAGTAAGATGAAGAAAACAGCTTGTCGAGATGAGGTAGTGAATCCATGACAACAATCGGCTTCTACAAGTTGACCCTGCCTTGGACCTCTATAAGCAGAAGTAGCTGGTGTCTACAGATATCTGACCCCTCCCTGAACTGTCTGTAAACTGTCGCGTTTTTAGCTATAAAAGATGTATGCACTTGTTGTTCGGAGAGCAGATCACGAGACGCATGAAATACTGATGAGTGTCTGCTCCCCCAAAGCTTTGCGCTAATAAAGTTTTCTCAGACTCTTAAAGAAATCCACTTCTTCGAAATTTCTACCACAGTATTACCCACACAATGTCTTCAATTAAAACGCAGTTCATTCAGGAAAACACACGAACACAAACACACAAAGATACCCTACTCGTTTCCTTGGAGACAAGATCAAAATTTTATGACATAGCTCAGTTAAAGGAGAAGTTTCCCGCTAGTGTTTTATTAATTTAGACATCTACAATCTGAATATCTGGCTGAAACTAAATTCTGAACAGCAACGAATGTATCGTAAATAATAAAATTTCAATTTACATGCTACATGCTCAGTGAAAAGTACTTATGGGACTTGCTTGTGTGTAAAAACACACAAAACAATTAGGCATCTGTATTCAAAGGCCAGGCACGATCATTCTTTAGTGTATAATCCTTTCGTTCAGTCAATTTTCCAAAGATCTGCAAAATCACCGGTCAGCTTCTGCCCACCCATATCCACAAGTGTTGATCTATATCTGTTTATTGACATGCAAGTATAAACTCTTTGCATTTACAGTTTTACTGTTTTTGTGGCAACATAATTTAGCAAAGCTCTTGAAACATACTACATGGTCGAAAGTATTGCGAAAAATGGGTATGCATATCAAGATATTTTGGACAATTTTATGCTTCAAAATTTGTGGGAACAGTCTGGGGAAGGTCCTGTTCTGTTCCAGCATGACTGTGCCCCAGTGCACAAAGCAAGATCTATAAAGACATGGCTGGGTGAGTTTGGTGAGGAAGAACTTCACTGGCCCGCAGAGCCCTGACCTCAACCCCACTGAACACCTTTGGGATGAACAAGAATGAGATTGTGAGCCAGACCCTTCATTTGCAACATCAGTGCCTGACCTCACAAATGCTCTTCTGGAAGAATGGGCAAACATTCCCACAGACACACTTCTAAATTTTGTGGATGGCCTTCCTAGAAGTCCTGCAAAAGGGGGACCAACTCCATATTGATGTCTATAGATGTCATGAAAGTTCCTGTAGGTGTAATGGCCAGGTGTCCTAATACTATTGTCCATATAGAGTGTGTGCATGTGGGTTTGCATAGATCACATTTGGGGACCAAAATGTCCCCAAAGTGTGGTAAAAACCGAAATGTCCTTACTTTTATTGACACTTTTCAGGTCCCCATTTGGATAACCTCAATTTTATAAAAATTGGTGACTGTGATCAAAAAAGTAAAAATGCCAAAAGTCTTGTATTTTGTTTAGTTACTTAGTTACTTAGTTAGTTAGGGCTGGGTGGGGGTTAAGGGTGTCATGGCTGGGAATAGGGTTTTTCCCATAGAAATGAATGGAAGGTAAGCCAATAGGTCAGCCAATGTGTGTGTGTGTATGTGTGTATGTACACACATACACACATTTTTAAAATCTGAAGTAAACACGTGTAGTGATGTTGATGTGAACGTGTCTTTGCACGTACGTACAGGTGTGTGGCAGCTTCTCACCTGCCGGTGGCTGCGAATACTCTGGGCCACTTCGGGGGCCCCCAGGGCCCCAGTGGGACGCATCTCCTCCACCAGGCAGCCCTGCAGCTTGAGTACGGCCCCATAAGTCTCCAAAGCCCTCGTCCTTTTCTCTGCCCGCTGGAAGTGGACGACAGCCGCCTGCACTGCCAGGTCCTCCTCCTGGACCTGCAACTCCTCCTCCCGCTCCAGACGCATCTCCTCCAGCACCTGGAAGTCGGAAAGAGGGGGAAAATAACTGCAGTCATATGGGGAGTTTGACTCATTTAGTGTGAACGCCTTTAATTTGGAAGTGTGACCCATAAGGCTTTGGGAGGCCCAGCACCCTGGAATCTACTTCAGTCCAACATAACCCTTTAATGTGACGTCACAGATCAGGAAAATGATCTGAAATCTCCAAAGCCAGCTTCAGCATGGCTGCAGATTTCCCTCGTGCTTGTGGTTGGAGGAGCATTAGGCTCTAACAAACATAATTAGCAGTCTGTTTATCGCTGTTTCCCACCCTCTTCCCATGCCTGCGCTGCGTGTGAAATAATCCCTGGCTGATCATTTTCTTCTTTTTTGCTTTGTTTTTCTTTTCGGGGAGGGAGGAACAGGCCTGAAGTCTCCGGAGCATGATCAAATGTCTCTGAGGCGTTCAAGGGCATCCTGCCCAGGAAAAAGGCCTGGCCAACAGGCAGTGGATAAGGGGTGCCCTGGGGATGTGCAGCAGAGAGCAGGGCAGCCCCTTATTTGCGGCCCACGCCGATCCAGGGCGGCACACAGCTGCCAGCTTGCTGGCACGGCTCAGAGAGACGACCGGCAGATCGATCCCAGCTAGATTCCCCAACCGATTCACCAGCCAGGCAGCTGAACACAGAAAAGGAGCTTTTCGGTCTCACTGGCCCTTCTGCTGTCTTACTTTACAAAGTCTGCTATTTACAAGCACTTATTTCACAAGGGATTGTTTTAACAAGCAGATTTTACCTGCCGTGTAAGTTCTACATTGAATCTCCACAGTCTACGTTTGACCTGACGAAATCTCGATTCTTGGGACATGGGACAAAAACAGGGGTGCTTCCAGTCTGCATATACTTTTTCACCCCACATGCCAGAAACCTCTTACTCGGCAAGACCAATCAGGAGACTGGACACCCAGTGCACTTAATCTCTTAATGGAAAGTACTGTGCCATAGATGATCTGCTGATTCATCAGTGTGTCAACATGAAAACTTTATTTGATGGATAAAACAGCCCTTTATTAGATCCACCATTAAACTGTAGCCACATAAGCCTCTCAGAGCTGTGCAGTTTCCAGCAAAGTTCAAAGTGTTACACCATGGTAAAGAGCAAGGAAACCTTACTGAGCAGTCAGCAGGAGAATAAGGCTGCAGTTTCAGATTTTAATCTGCTATCTTAACCCCTTTCAGTGTTCTTGCACCCACTTGTGATATCGGAAATGACATTATAACTTTTGCCGGGCCTTTGACATGGCATAAGAAAATCTCTGGGCATAATGAAGCAATCTGATTCTGAGAGATGCCGTTGAGCAGGAGGGCATCAATAACTGCAGGGGCGCAATGACCTCGGACATAAGCCGTGCAAATTCAAAGCGAGCTGGCCGCATTTGTGCAGGATTGATTGATGGTCCAGCCGAACAGGAAGCCATTACCATTAAAAGACATGACCTTGATGCATCAACTCCCAGACCGCAGACACAAGGTACGAGGATCATACTGGAGCAGCGAGTGACTCAGACAAAGTACGACTCCACCGGCCAAGGCCCATGTGAGGCCGTCACCGGTACATAACACAGGTCAGTGGTTCACGAGCACGTCATTATTGCCTAGCAAACTGGGCCTACTTCATGCATCAGTATATCGCGAATTAGCTCTATTTTTTAATGACTAGCAGCTAATGGTTTTTCTCCCTGGCAGGCGAACTGTGTTACATGTGAATCATGTGAGATCTGACCTCTGAATGCGCACAGGGAGCTGATCCTAGATACTGAGAAGCTTCTGGGCATCAGCAAAAATCAGATCTGCTGTTCTTTTGCTGGCCACTTACTTAGTAATGTTGCTTACTAAAGACTCACGGTCCCACTGCAAGAAGTCTAATGGTGGAAGCTTTGCTTTTCATCTACACCCACTAGATTGGGCAGGATTAGTTAAAGAACCACAGAGCTCAGTAGATGAACAAGACACAGTTTCTTCCCATGGAAATAAAGACGTTTTAATCACAATAATTCAGATTGAGGCATAGATGTAATAATTTTCCATCAAAGTCATGAACCTGGAGCGTAATGCCAGCAGCCTTGGACTCTGCACTATCAGTGTATTGCTAATCATTCAGAAACCTTATTCCTCCATGTCCTTGTCTTTTCCCATCATGTTCCTCTATCACTCAACCTGCCCGACCTTCATCTGTTGTCTCTTTGTCACTCTCTCCTTTCCAGCATGGTTCCTCCTCACCTTCTTCATGGCCGTGCTTTCCTCCTCCTCCTCCTGCTCATAGATCTGAAGTTGTGTCTCGGTCTGCTTCCTGAGTGCCAGGAGCTCTGATGGACACGTTTCCCATCTCTCCTCCACCGGCACACCAACAGGCTGAGTCCTTTTCTAATGGTGGGACAACATGGACAGCTGGGTTAGGCGTTTCATGGTAAACCCCAGGATGAAAATTGATGGTTCATACCATGTTCATCGGCTTATTACTGGTATACGCCGTTGCAACCAAACGGTGAATTTCACCTGCACGCGAGCATGTGTACACCGCATTACATTTTGTGGCACTGCCCCCCCCCAGGGAATTCATACTTCCATTTTACGGTAAAACATTTTGTTTTACTGTAACAGTAAACTAGAGTAACTAGTGTTAATGACTCTGCTGAATAAAAAAAAATCTGTTTTCTTTGCTTGTCATTTTAAGCATTCACTCTATTTTCAGTTTTTCAGTTGAAATTATTGCAATCCAGTGACACAGTATTTTGGTATTATGGTATTAATGTATATTTAGCTCGATAGCTAGCTCGATGTTTTATTGATATTTATCTGAAGATCCTGTTCCTTTTCCCTCCTAATTTCTTTTGTTCAAACAGGAGATTTTAAAATTTATTTAATTTTAAAAAAGGGACATTTTTTTAAAGAGAGAAAAAAAACGGTTTCAAGTATGAAAAAGCATTTTTTAACCTAAATGACCCTTGTTTTCATTCATTTAAGGGTCATTGTAATGGACAATAATAACAATAACTGTGGAATACTACATACCATGATACTGTGAAAACGTGATATTCCCCGAGATGGTTATACCGTGAAAATCTCATACCGTTGAAAGCCTAACAGTGTGGGTGACCTGGTCGCACATCGTATGGCAAACAAATACTAAATGTCAGACAAATTATGTTTCAACACACAAAGCAATGAACAAAGGTTGGTTGACAAAACAACCTCCATTACCGGGTGTTGCATCTATACTTCACTGATGTAATAACAGATTCAGACAATGATCAGCCTTCCTACAAAAGCCAATAAACAAATCATTCGAAACAACCATGCATTTCACAGTGAGCTCAAGGACAAGAGACAGTCACAGAACTGCCTAAAGTGCTTTGGACTGCTGCAAAAATCCTTTCTGAACATGGGGAGTACATGGCAAGCCCATGTAACAGATCTAAAAAATAATATATTAACAAGTATATAAACAAGTATAAAAGATTAAAGTAAAGCTCTAAGCAATAACTGAAATTAATTAAACATGATCATAAAATTAACACAAGAATGTGATTCTTGTTAAAATTTCTTGCCTGCAGAAGGACGACTGCGGCTTCCGTCTGTGTGGCTTAGCAGGCCTGCCAGCGGAACAGGTGCTACCACGCGCGAGTATCAAGCTTTACGGGAGTTGGGGATTATGGAAATAAAAGACCACAGTTCTCTCCTGAGCTATAATATTGCGGATTACAGATTACGCTATCATTCATAACATAGTATGGCAATAATTGTGGGGTGTATGTTAAACTATATCTTGATGTTTGCCTGTCTGGAAAAAAGATTGTTGAGGGGTGGTTCAGCATGTCTGAAACGAGCACCAACCTCCAGGAGCTTCTCTCGCCTCCACTGGGAAAGCAAGGCCTGCAGCCGGCAGCGGGAATGGGCTCGAGGCAGCACCAGGCAGTGGTCCATCTGGGACAGGCAATTCTGGAATGCCAGCTTTAATCGGAGCGACTCCTCCTCGGACAGAGTGAGCTGGGAGGCACAGAGGGTCCTGGGAAGAAACGCATCACACGCTGGGAATGTGTGAAAGCACGGCTGCCTTTTTTTGGGAAGCTAATCAGGCCGGCAGCGGCTGCACTCACTGGAAGTATCCCCTGGCATGCAGCCGGAGCTCCCGCTGCTCATGCAGCTCCTGCTCCAGGCCGTGCTGCAGGTCATCACGGGTAGCCTGTAGGAGGCGCTGTGCTGCCTTGCCCTCACCATGCAGCCGCTCCTGGGCCTCAGCCAGGGCAGCGCCCACCGGTTCCCGCTGCGGCAGGAAGCGTGTCGACCCCGGGCCTAGCAACGCGCCGGCTGCCGCTGGCAGGATGGCCTTCACCTCCACCATGGAGCTGTGGATCGCCCGCATCGTCACCTGGGTCCGACATGGGACATATCCATTGTTTCTCCTCACTTCATCGTACCCCTCTTGAATGACAGCACATGCTCTGTTTCCGAGCCTCAGAGTCAGTACGACCTCCATATCTAAAGGTTCAGAGGTAAATGTTGAGCAGATGTGCCCACTGACTCCTCCACGACTCTCTTCACCACCCCCATGTGACCCCCATGTGACCCCCATGTGACCCCCATGTAACACCTTGCGGATGTCAGCGGCCGCCTCCTCGTCCAGGTTGTTGATGAGCTCGCCCAGTTCCAGGCACTGCGAGGTGAGCAGGCTGTGCCAGCGAAGAAGGTAGGGGGCCAGGTCAGCACCCTCCGCCCAGACCCGTCCCAGAGCTGACAGTTCCTTTTGCTTGCGCTTGTGCTCTTGCAGCTGGGGGGGGGTTATAGAGCAGGACAGACATGGTACACTGATGGTACACTGAGTATGACCAATCCAACCATTCCCCTCATATAAAAGCTCCAGGTATAAATACGGACATAAATTACTAATCCAAATATTAAAAACTGAATACAGTATTTGTATAAGAAAATTAAGCTGTTTACTAGCAGTTGATACAAAATAATAAATTATATCTATTTCAGTTATGTGCATAAGAGAAGCTTCCTGCAGGAAGTCCATCATGATAATTTCTTTCAGATAAGTGAGAAATTGTCTAGTTACTAACAGCTTCGTCATTGAAAACACCGAATGTCATTTCTCTTTAAAGACAGCGCAAAACAGACGAGTTCGCAAATATATACTGTAAAAAAAAAAAAATAACCAAATACAAAAATTCTGCAGCTGACTTTCTAACTGGGAGCAGAGGCTGGAACTAAATTTCCCATCCAAGTATGTAGGATGGATGTACAGAGGCTGGGGGGGGCAGTTTCCCTTATGGAGAGGGACGTGGTTAGCATCCACATTGAGAGGGAGAGTCAGATTACTGGAGTTTGTCAAACTGATTAGTTTTGCTGGGCCATAATTTCCTGCATTATGTATAATTTGTCGAGTTCTGCTTTTTTTCACCCTCAGTAAACTGGACCCTGAACCATGTCTGGACTGAGAGCTGTGTAATTCAATCATTTGTCCACAACAGCCCCTCCCAGGTTCGTCCTGCGTGTGTTGTGTTTATCTCATCCCTACCCTCCGTGCCATAATCTTGTCTTTCCCTGCTCAGTCCTTATTTCACACAGTTGTTTCTCATTCAGATCCGAGTGCTTCTCACAGATCATGTTTCATTTTAATAGCTACATGCAGCTGAACTGATCAGTGATCAGCAAACTTTAAACAGGCCGAAGATCTGTGTGGTTGGATCAAAGGACCATCCAGCATATTACTCATATTAGATATTCCGTTTGACAATCAGGGTCTCATCCCAGTCAGAGGATCCCTAGAATGCCTGGTGCATTTGACGCCTGACAAATGAATTTGGCCTAATGAGCGCAAAGAAACCTGAGCCCTTAGCTCTTTTAAAATTAAGTTAATTTATGATCAAGGCGATCAAGACCTTGATTGCCTGATGGAGCCACATTTTAGGCTGGAGCAAAGATACTGAAGTTTTGCTGGGGTAACAATTAAAGGTCTACTGCCTTGTCAGAGGGTGAAGTGAAAGTGGAAACAAGGTGTTTCTTTTTTTCTAAAACATGATGGGGGACATGTTCTTTCTGGGCACTGAAAGCAACAATCAGTGTTCAATGCCGAGCTTTCACTGGGTTCATCTGGGTTCATTTTGCAATCACAATAGCATTTGGGACAGGAGCAGTTATACTGACGAATACCAAAGGCTTTAAAAGAACACCTAAATGTGAAATGGGCAGCACATTTCATTATGCATTCAACCAAAAAATGGAAGTATGAGCAATTAGGGTTGGGAGGGGGTAAGACTCCACTGACATCTTCACAGCTTCGTTGTCTCTCTGGATTTGGCCATGAAGACCCACGGCTCTTTCTCAGAACCCCCCCCCCCCTTTTGTTAATTACCCCCATCATTTAAATGCCTTACAGGACAAAGTACATTTTAAGATTGAGGCTGTTTGAGCAAAGATCTCATGGAAATGCTGCATTTTCTAAGGAATCCAGCAGCATCCATTGTAAATATTATCAAGCTGAGAATGAATGTGACACCCCTCCCCCATATTAAAAGGAAGTTAGGAAATGGACTTACATGCAGATTAAGATCCAAATGTTTTTATTGTTTCACAAACAAAGTAGACTTGTTCAAAACAAGATCCTACCGTAATTTATTTTTGATGCATTAGTGCAGAAACCAAAACTCTGGTATTATAAACGTACGCATCTAACATCTAAACAGTGCACATTTATTCTGCTCATAATTCATTCAGCTCGTGGGGGAGACATAAATCAGAATCAATTGCATCAGGTCATGACCGTAGACAAAACAACTGTCTGGTGCAGTGGGGGGGGGGTGGTGCAGTGTAACCTCTGTAGCCACATTTAGCTACAGGTGACTGGGCTGCCAGATGATGCAATAGATTTTATTTCATGTATTCCTTAGGATGGCTCCATGGTCAGGGGCTACAGTCCCAGCCCTGCTCTGTGTGTGTGCAGTTTGCAGGTTCCGCCTGTGTAGGTGTCCTGTAGTCCAAAGAGATGCAGTTAGGCTGTGATGTATCTACATTGCCTTTAGTGCGTGATTGTGTGTGACTATATGCCTTGTGATGGATGCAGGCTGGACACCAGCCCATAGCCCCCCCAGATGACCCTGACCCAACCTTTTTAAACTCAAGATCTACTTTTCAAGTGGTCAGTGTGCCGAGATCTACCAGTTCAAATAGGGAGCCATAGTTATTACGCTTTTACTCTCCAGCTATTGCCTTTATACATAGTTAACATGGACACAGGAAATCCAGACAAATCCAGGTAATTCTACAAATTTAAAAAGTGTAAATATATTTCTCTACCTTAGTGGCGCTGGCAAGATGCAGCAGGTAAAAACTGCTGAGCTGCTAACTGACTTTTCAGTTTTCGCAGTTTTCGGCTGCGTATGGCTGTTTTAGCAGGGAACTCGCTCTCGTAGCTTTTGTGCATCGTTTTGAAATGCCGCTCTCGCATTGCATATAAGACATATGGACTTTGAGTAAGCAAAAAACTAATCCTCTTCCCACTCTGAATAAAAATGATATGTTTTTGATCTTTTGGCATCTGACATGTTTGCGTGCTACATGTTTACAGTATACGATTAGTGTACTGTAATGCAAGTGCATGGACGCCTGCAACGCACTTTGCGATCGATTTAGAATCACTCTGCGATCTATGGGTCAATCTCGATCAACTGTTTGGGCACCCCTGTGATAGAGGCTGGAGACATGGGTGGACAGAGACCATAACAAAGGCTATATAAGGGGCGATTTAAGCATTCTGTGTTCATTTGTATGGAGGTTATAGAGGTGTGGGGTCTTGCTAACCACCTTGCCCACCCTGCTTCATCCACCCATCAGACCCTCTACCTTACTGTATTCAGTTTCCATTGGAAACACAGAACCGAAGGTGACGGCCACCCCCCACACACTACAAACATTACAGTGCCCTCCACTTTGACAAACAGTCCCCCCCATTCACCTTGATTAAATTACCAGCCATTTGCTGTAAAAGATGATAGGACATAGAAATTAATATTGAAGTTACCCTTCCTTATTTATCAACCTCTGCTTTCCATGGCAATGGGTGTCATCAGGACACAATTTGAAATGTCCAGGTTCTGGAATCAGTTCATGATGGTTTATTCTACTCCTCCCATACTTGACCCCCTGGTTCCGTAATACTTGCATTCAACATTCAACAGGAGCCCTGACCCTGCAAAAAAGTATTAAAGCTCCCCCCACTATCCATCGTGATTTATGTGATCACACAATTGTGGTAGGGGGTAGCTAGCTTTGCTCTGTTTTCATTTGGAGGTCCCTGGTTCAAAAAAAAGTTGAAAACCCCTAATCTAATCCAATGCTGAGGTCATCTGCTGCCCCCTGCTGGTGCCCCACATTCACAATGCTTAGCTTGTATGATCTATGACTCCTCTTGGTTTGTCCAATTCTTGATTTTTGGTGCTTTTATTAACTAAATGACACACATAAATAATGAAGATGTAATTAAACATTTATAACCTTCCACTGCCATATTGGAGTTAAAAATTGCACATACATTTTAGAGTATCTCTATCCCATTAGTTTAGAAAACTACCATTGAAGATGAACGCTGTCAGTTAGGCAGACATAAGAATACACCAAGCAAGCAAAAATGTCAATTTGTGATTCAATCAAACCAAGCAGAACCTACTTTGCAAGCTAAATCATCATCAACAATAAAATGATTACTGACCACTGCTGTGAATAAGGTTAACTGACAAACAGCTTTCTGCAACACCATTTTCAATTTGCTCGGACAGCATCCCTTCCTCCCTGCATTCATCACCACAGAACTTGCAGCAAATGGAAGCTTCCTTTTGTTGCCGGGGGAACAAGTACAGAACAAACCAGACAGACAGACAGGCAAAAAGTATTCTCGTTCAAGCAATGACAGAAAATAGGAATATATGGAGAGGTGTGTGTGTGTGTGTGAATATGGTTTTATGCTGATTAAGAAGCCTGAACATTTTGCTTCGGTGACAGCTAAATAAAATTACATGAGGGAAATCACAGAGAATGAGTACATAGACTTTCATAAACACATTGAATGCAATAGGAAAGAATCCATAAAAAAAAAAAAAATCAGTAGTTCTTTCAGACTTAACTCACCATGGCAAAAATGTCATTTTCATACTCAATCTCATCATCATGAACGTTAACAGGAATAACAACGTAAATATTGTAATAAAATACTATAATAAAACAAGATGAACAGCCTAAATAATTCTCAAGACATCAAAACAGTATGAGGGATAGAACAGAAAGAAAAGAAGGACAAGACGAGGACTGAGTGGAGATGGCTAATTGGTGACTTGCAGGGGTCATTGTAAACTTCCAGTGGTACCTATAGGACTGCTGTGTATGTTAGCAGATCTTTCCAACAAACATCTATGATTGCTTTTTGCGTAGTGGGACCAGGAAACCGGTCCCCATAAGGGAAAAAAAACGGATATTTATCACGTTATGGGGACATTGTGTCCCCATAAGGATAGGTAAACCCGCTCACACGCGCACACACACACACACACACACACACACACACACACACACACACACACACACAGCCCCTCCCCTCCTCCCAATAGCCGCTGAATGCATTCACGCTGGTTAACGCTCACATACCGAGAGTTGGCCGAATATGGCATATGCTGCAGTTGAAGGCACTTGGCAAGCTGCTTTAGTCCAAAAAAAAAAAAAAAACGCAAAAGTGCCATTTGGATGCCGATAAGCCTCTATGCAAACAGCGCTACAAAGTTATAGCGATGAAGTCAAGTAGCACGTCAAAGTTGATGAAGCATCTTAGAGACCGACATCCCGGTCTTTATGAGAAATTTCGCGAGGTCAGTAAAGCAACACTCAGCTATTAAACACTTATCAAAAATGTTAACTTGGCCGCCACACACCTTAACATTAGTTGTTCATCTATAAGCAGTTAGCCAACAAACATGTTAGCCGTATGTCATCATTAAGGTAGCTGATAGGCGCAATGGCTAATAATAAAATAATATAGTTAATGTGGGAAAAATGCAAAAACGTAAACAAAAATGTGTCCTGTAAAATCCTGTAAAATGTGGTAAACGCCCAGTCATACCATCGTTTACTGTGAAACCGATATAACTGAAAAATACCATGATATAAATTTTTGGTCATACCGCCCAGCTCTAATTGGAACATGGAAGGGTGAGTCATGCTTTAACTGTGCGTGAGTGTGTGTGTGTGTGTGTGTATACATATTGAACATTATGACCATATTCAGCTATATTCAGTACATTAGCATTTATTTCCATGACTTTGTAATGGATGTGTGCTGATGTGTACAGATTGACATACAAGTAAAATATAAACACACACACACACACACACACACACACATACATATCTGTATATGGGTGTCTGTGTGTGTGTGGTGATGTATATAGTACATCATAGGGACCAAATGACCCCACAATGTGATTAAAGCTGTCATTCTTACGTTGTGGGAACTCAATTTAATTAAAATCAGTATCAGCAATCAAAAAAATAAAAATACCAAAAGTCTTATACAGTGGTACCTCAGTTCTTGAACTCAATTGAACTCGAATTTCTTAAAAGTCAAACCAAGCAGTTCCAAAAAAATTTACCTAGAACTCGATCTGAATCTCAGAAGTGAAACCGTGAACGCCGACCTAAGATAACTTGTACGCGCGGGGAAATGAGTCACGTCTCTCAGCGGAAACAAAGGGTAATGCTTCATTCTCAGCCTCGCATTCGCTGTGATAGCATCGTGCATGTTTACACTAGCTGAATACATATATTTTGACAGTAAAAATACATTTAGACAAAGACAGTAACAGTAATTATTATATAATAAAATACATTTAAAATAAAGATTTCTTATTCATTATTTTAATATTAATAATAAACCATTAATACGTTTAATTATAATAATATTGTCGTGCAGAGCGGGGACGGAACGGAGACAAAGGCGCAGACGTCAGGGTATTGGGGAATACGGGGTTTAATTACAGGTAAGGCAGGCAAAACGCAGACGGACAATACAATGACCGGACTGGGGAAAGAAACTGAAAAGCGGACTAAATACAGAGGACCGATGACAACAACCAGAAACAGCTGATCACATGGGGATTCCACACGGGGTTAATGAGGGGGTGTGGCACACGGAAGGAGCAGACGATCGGGGCAGGACACATTGTTTGGATACATTTATTTTCTTACTTTACAAATTACTGTTTTGATAAATGTGCTTAGATGTGTTTAGTACAGTATGTGCTCTTCTTGTTTTATCCGGTTCATTTTGTGTTTAAATGCTAAAAAAAAAACCATATTTAGGTGTCATTTTTTGGGGCCGGGAACCAATTAATTGGTTTTCCATTATTTCTTATGGGGAAAATTTGATCACAACTCGAACTTTTTAGGATTTGATCCGGAGTTCTGAACGGATTAAATTTGAGTTCTGAGGTACCACTGTATTTTATTTGTTTACTTATGGTTAAGGTTGTTATTGTTGGGATTAGATTTTTCCCCATAGAAACTAATGGACGGTCCCCACAAAAATATGAGTACAGGTCTCTGTGTGTGTATATGTGCATTTGTGTGCGTGTGTGTGGGAGAGAGAGTGTGTGTGTGTGTGTTTGTGTGTATATGTGCGTGTATGTGTGTAGCGTGGAAATAAATGGGAATGTACAGAATATATCATGGCCATAATTTTCAAGTAGTATTTAAGGTTTACTGAAATTCAAAAAATAAATACTACGTTCTGAAAGGAAAAAAAAAAAAACACCCTCAGAACTAATTTCAATTAAATGTATTCAGTGAAATCATCTATCCTGAAACACAATGGTTTGTATTCAAGGAAGAAAACCATTTGGAAAACAAACACTCTTGTGATGGCTTGCTTTGAGCTGAATGTTAAAATGCTTTGTTGGAGCAGGCAGAGTGAAAACCGGATACTTTGAGATAATTAAACATACATTAGAGAAAAGTCATTTACTGCGCTGAACTGCACTGAAGTGAATACTGATGTAAAGTACACTGAAATTCATTCTGCATGATCAAATACAGGGGTGCCACAGCATTAGCATTCAGAGCTCAGATCTCTGAAGAGTCTCTGGCTCTTTGCACGCGCAGTTCATATGGTCTCCTTGTGCTGTGTACATTTCCTCCCACTGTCCAAACACACATGGTTAGGTTAACTGGCACCTCTAATTTTGTGTATGTGCCCTGTGCTTGACTGACATCCCTTGCAGAGAATCCCCCCACCTAGTACCCTGTGCTACATGGTACAGGCCCCCAGACACCCTAAGTGTTGCTATACAGATGGATGCAAAATCACATACAGTGGTGCATCAGAACTCGGGTTTGAATCCTAAAAAGTTTGAGTTCTGATCGAATTTTTTTTTTTTTTTTTAGCATTTAAACACAAAATGAACAGGATAAAACATGAAGAGCATGTTTTTCTTAATGGCTTCCAAAACGATAAAGAATGTACCCCAACACTACCCCTGTCCTGCCCTGATCGTCTGCTCCTTCCGTGTGCCACGCCCCCTCGTTAACCTCGTGTGATCAGCTGTTTCTGGTTGTTGTCATTAGTCCTCTGTATTTAGTCCACGTTTCAGTTTGTTTCCCCAGTTCAGTCATTGCTGCGTCATTGTGTTGTTCTGCCTGTTCTCAATTAAACCCCCGTGTTTCCCGAGTCCTGTCCCTGCTTCCCCGGTTCTGGCTCGGCAGATCGTGGCAACCCCAAGCCATGCCCCAACACTGTGCCAACACTAGACTATACCATGCGGTCCATTGTTTCTTTTTATTATTATAACATGGAGCTCAATGTGTACAGGGATGACGTGGAGGTGGATTACTGTGGGTACGAGGTGAGATGGGCTGTGGGGGTCACGTCAATGCTCAATTTTTTTTCGTACTGGTTGGTTCGACTTGAAATTCAAGTTCTAATGAGTTCGAGAACTGAGGTACCACTGTATACGGATTTTTTATGAATCTGCTTAACGATGTGATTAAACGGATCTCTAAAGTCATGCCACTGAGTAGCAGGTGGAGGACCAATGTGGGTGCAGAGGGCTGTTGGGATCCCTCCCCGTGTTTCTGCTGACCAAGGACCCACCTTGTCAGAGATGAGGCCCCTCCTCTTCTTAACTAGCTCACAGTGCATAGAGCTGCGCTCTTGCGTCAGAACCTCATCCAGGCCCTGCTTCACCAGCAGAAGCTCCTTCTTGGCCTTTTCAAGTAGCTGCTCCAACTGCTCCTCAGCCGCACAGGCCTCTCTGGGGGGGCAGAAGGGTGGAGATAGGGTCAGCCATGATTATTCAGAGCTGGGAGGGGTTCAGCTCCAAGCCCACACAGGGTTATCGATCTTAGTGATGTACCACACTGAGGCTGCTTCTGATTACAGTCCCCCTGCAGAACTGAACGATAGTGTTTGTAGGTAGAAGAAAAGATTCTTTCATTTGCATTTTGTACAAATACAGGTACATAGAAATTCCTTGATTTTTATCTGGATATCCTGATTTTCTGGGGTTCGTTGTGTTCCTGGGTTAACGGGGGGTGGGTCATTTCATTAACCAATCACATTCATCATTGTATGACATCACCACATTAGTCCGTTTTGTCTCATTTTCAAACTCAAGGCCTCCAGCCAACGAGCTGGGTGCGATTTTTGGCTCAGCAAGCTAAGTCTCTGTGCCTGTGATCGGAAAGCCGCCATTTCAAACTTGGCCTCAAGCAGAATAACCACATGGCTGTGGGCCCTTGAGCTAGGCCCCTTAATCATGGTTTATTGTTGTTTTCATTACAATCCATCATCATGAAATAAAGATACGCCCCTACGTTGCTCTGTATAGCCTTTGCAGGGAAGCGTGTTCCTATGTTTTGCATCTATGAGATGTCACTTAACAAAAGGCATACACAATAAAAAGGGCACTTTACAAATCTGTGCACCTTGTCGCTTAACAGAAAGCACTGGCTTTAATTAATGCGGAAATGTCATAAAACAAAGACTGATTTTTCACACAGCCCTTCCTGCCCTCCATGAGACACACATATGCAGGTGGTAGTAAAGTTTGGGGTCAGACAGCAAGGCCAGCCATTTATCTGGCACCCCGGGGCAGATTGTGGGATTAAGGGCCTTGTTCAAGGACCCTACAGTAATACGACTTCTCTGCCAGCCACAGAATTCATACTGGAATCATGGGTCAGCAACAGCAGTGTCCACTTGAGATAATGAGACGGTGAACAGAGACGGTGGTCAAGCTGTTACCCAGAAAAGGTTGTTTCTAGACAGGTAAGCTGTAGCAGCAGGAGGATTTCTGAGGGAATTTTTATTTTTCATCTGTATTGCACTGTCCTGCAAAGCATGGGAGTTTTGCTACTCGGCAGGGACTGGGCCGACTGGGCCACCAAACTGCTTGACCCGAATACAGAAACCATCCATCCATCCATTATCTGTAACTGCTTATCTTATTCAGGGTTGCGGGGGGCCCAGAGCCTATCTTGGAGGATGTAGGGACAAGGCTGGGATGGGGCAAAAAACCAATGAACCAATAAAGTGAAATAAACAGATAAATGGATAAAGTGAAACAGACTAGACTGGGTGGACAATGGATGACAGCATGATCTGAAGTTGTAGAAGTTGCGATATGGCTTGTTTATAAACATTCCATGCTTCCCTTGCAGAATGATTTTCTAAGGTTGATGGAGTACATCTGCTATTGCAATTGAACTACTCCAAACATGTTTGTCTTAATAGAATGCTTGTATTCATATGAAAAGAACAGAAAACCACTGAGTGGAGACCAATGATCTATAGCAATCATTGAACTTTAAAAGTGTGTGAATATTTAATCCCCAGACAGCAGGAGGATGCCCCACCAAAGCCTTCAGTTGTCCACCATCTTCAACACATTCAAGTCATCATGGTGTCACCTTTCATCAGGTAATCTGGCGAGGGCAACCAGCACAGGATACTTGCTTTCTGAGCCACATGGATAATTCCTTAAGGATCCTGCACTGAGGAGCCGTGACCAAGCAGGTCAGCCATGGAGTCCAACGTAGTATGACAATGTGGAAGCTCTGGGTTACACTGCATCCAAATTTATCCCAAATTTAACACAACAGAGAGAAGCCCACAGTTTGAGAATATTAAGAATATGGAACAGGTGTCATTCTGAGACTTGAAGTGAACAGCTGAACAGTTGGCTGCCATTTTTATAAATCTCGGTTATTTATTGATCAAGTGAAACAACTTAAGGGAAAAAACAAATATAACGACATATTTTCAACAGGTAAGCACATGATTTACTTAACACAACGAGCTTTGCAGAGCTGAGCTGTGTCTCTTTCTGTCTTGAAGCTTCATGAAGCTTTTTCCATAATGTGGGGATGACTGTCAATATTTTATACATGTAGAAAATAAATCCAATTCTGGGTAAGTCTTACACCCTTTCAGCTTGACTATAAAAATAGGTACACATGTATCGCACATGTTCAAGATTATATGTCTATAAGCATTGATGTCTAGCAGCAATTTTTTTCTACTAAAACAAACACTATAAAATGGTGAAAACATTAGATTAGAAAACATGAGATTTCAAAACAAAATTTTCACACTTCTAATCCAGCCACACTGCAATGCTGTACATTACTTAATACCACAACTTCACAGCACAGATAAATTGTGTCAAATTCGCTTTGCAGTAAGAATAGATGTGTTTGTACTGGAAGGACAAAGAACTATTGGGCACTAGTTCAATCAAACATGCTGAGAGCATGAGGAACCTTGGGGAGACTGACTATGACTCTAAACAGAGCAGGTCACTCACTTCCTGAGTTCCCGGAACCAGTTCTCCATGTGGGCTGACGTCTTGGCAAACACCTCGCACATTAGACTCTTCAGACTCTGGAGGCTGTGCACAAGGAACTGTCTCTGGGCGTGGCGCTCCCCGAGGACGCTCCTCTGATTGGCCAGGAACACATCCAGCACTTCCTCCAGCTGATCCTGAAGGACAGTGACCACACCATCCAACTCAATTTCAAGTTCAAGGCTGTGTGTCGGCATTGGTGTGTCACTATGAAGCAAAGCCATACAAAACGATTTGCACCAATCAAAGGAGATATTTAAAAAGCAACATTAGATGCATCAGCATCTCTGGTAATCCCTGTTCACAAGCAGATGCAACAACTAAGGTTACATTTGCAAAATGTAACATTTAATAAAACGTATTAATAAATTAATTTTCATTAATTTAACTGATTTTAATGAATTATATTATCGACATAGTACCTCGATGTTCATATTAAACAATCTCAGGCAGTCTAGCCTTCACACTCAATAAAAGCAGACGCCATTCACATGGAGAAGAATCGATGCATGACTCAGAAGCCATTTTAGCACTAAGTGATCAAGAAAGAAAATCTGTAGCCATAAACATCACACAAAGAGCATTATGAAGCCATAACACTAGACAAGCTCCTGTCGGAACACAAGGCAGACAAATAGTGAGTGCATACTTACTGTAGTTACCGAAACATTATTAAAATTGTTTTTAGCTTTGTTGCTGACTGCTCAAAGGTTTTCTTCGTGAATCAAGCTGGAGAAACAGAGGACTACATATCCAAGTGAAAAACAGGCTTGTGTTTAGCTATAGCAAGAGGGATCTCAGGGCATCACCCCACCTGGCAGGTGAAGTAGGTGTGCAGAAGACCATTGGCCACACCCCTGTCCATCTCCCCCATCCGGGTGGCCTCCTCCAGCTCTTCAGAGAAGATCTTGTGCAGCTCGGCCCGTCGCTGCACCACGGCCTGCCTCTGAACGCGGGCCGAGGCCTCCTCGTGGCGGCCCAGCAGACCCCTCCTGAGCCGGTCCTGGTCCAGCTCATGAAGCTTGTCCAGCAGCACGCCGCATTCCAGGGCCAGCTGTGGACCAGAGAGCAGGAAACTGAGGAAACAAACCACGCGACAAACAGACCAGCCACCTAGAGCCTGCAAGGAGCAGGAGAGGCCAAAATGACAAAATGAGAGCATGTACTCTCAGTCTGGAAAGGGGGGGGGGGCGGCAGCCCCGGCAAGAAGAGCACAGGCATGAGGTACATGCAGCTCATGGCTAGTAATTAATCTAGAGGAAAAACAGCCTGGCAACAAAGTGGCAAGGGGACAGATGGGCAGCGCAGAGCCTGATTACAGAGGACACTCTCCCTACAGCAGACGGGCACCCTGTAGAAAAGGGCTGCGGGTGCAGTAAGAGACAGGTCTCACGGGGTCAGTGTCTCACAGCAGGTTCAGTGGCTTTAAGTGCAATGAGGAGATTTTACCAATTGCTACAAAACTCCCAGATTACTAGGCAACCACTTTAATCAGGACCATCAAATTAGCCCATAAACTGTGCAACTGCTCACACTGACTCTTACATCAGTATTTACTGGACATAAATAATCATCATTAATTATGAGATGAATGGATACATTCAGTTTCTCACCATGTCTGTTGATGACAGAATTTTATGTAATAAAAGAGACATGACAATTAACAGCTCAGTCCCACCGTACCTGTGAGACTCAGATACCATCTATAAACTTGTCTGCTCTCCAGTGCTTCCCGGATGGCAGAAATTCTACTGATTTCTGCATTTCCACTCCATGAAGAACAGGTACCGACCATTATTATAGTCACTTAGGTTCTTCAAAAGGAATCAGCTTGTAGAAAAATTGATTGCAACTGGTTGGGCAGCTGTTAATATAAATTGTTATATTGCTACCTATGAAATAACAGATCATTTAATCGCTTAGAGAAGTGCTCCAGGCAGGATGCATAAAGGAACCGCGTGACACAGGAACCAAAATCTCCAGTTAATAGTTGGGAAAATGACATTTACAGGCAGCTCACCACACATGTAGATTCAGATGCATGCAAAAAAATCCCCAAGATGCACTTCTCTGTAGCACTTCTCTAAGTTTCAAATATTTTGAAAGTAAATTTACACTCATCTCACTCATCTTTTAATTTATTTGTGTTCTTCAGTACATATTACTAGTATATTTTTTGCTGTAAGTGACTTGAATGCATGGGGAGGGTGGTTTAAATCTAACATGTAAAACTTGACATACGTAAGGGTTTGGGGAACCGATTAGTTACATCAGTCGCAAACTGTCCATGCTGACTTTGTGACACCCCATGAAAACTGGCTTTTTGTGTGTTCCATTGTCACGTTATTCCCGCATCTTCCTTTACTGGTAGACCTCTGCTCATTACATTACCTGTTCCCTTGTTCACTCACCCTATGTAAGCCCATGCCGCATGTCCTTCTGACTTAGGGTGGTAAAATCTTCCATTGCATTGACATGATTAATGATAAGTTTCTCTTCCATTAAAATGTACAGTCAGCCAGAGCCAACATCACTTCTGAAGCAGAAACTGCCCGACAGGCATTTCCATTAAGATTCTCTTCCCTTGGGAGAGACGTCACGGAGCGGAGTCTCCACGGCAACGGCTCCAGTCTCCGGGACCGGCCACGACAGCTGACCGGCAGCTAGGTCTCCTCATGGCCCCTGTCCCCTGCTGCCACCGCATAGCGGCTGTCACACGAACAAAGCGGCTGGGGGCTTGGGGCCAAGGCTATTTTTATCAAGCGTGGCTGGTGTTTAGGAAACAATGGCAGAATACCGGTGCGAGGGGACTGGGCACGACGCAGACTGCTGCCCAGTCGCGACACAGACTTTAAATGAGTTTAAATGATTTCTAGAAAAAAGGAAATTAAAAAATTAATTAAAATGATGGATAACCAGCATCCCATTGTCATGATTCGTTAATTTCAAAATGTCATGTGATCCCCTTTACAGGCAAAAGCGGTTTGGAGAATCTTCAGTGTAGAATCCATCTTCAGCGCCCGTGACACGTTCCAGAAACCCCCTGACTGATGGCGTTTCCCGAGACCGGACAGCGTGAGTAACGTTCACCGCTGGGACGCTACGCGCCGCATTAAAAGCTGCCCTTTGTCAGTGACTGTGAGCCTCCCCAAGATGTTTAATTAACAGGCATCAGGGCTGAGCCTCCAAACAAACTCTGTCAATTAGATTGGCACTGAGAGATAACGAGCAGCCGGGAAGGTGGCAGCTCGCATAGCTGTCTCAGACAGCCACCCATGGGACGCCCATGAACGTCCACCTTCCTGTCCCCAATTAAGATGTGACATCACCAGGGGGCCCCTATGCATCACTGCATTAGGTATTTATACGGCTGATGTGTGTATGGAGAACCGTGCCAGGTATCTGTCTCCTCGATTTTATCACAAATGCAAAATAGTCTTTACATTCACAGAATTTAAATAACTGGTTAAACTCTTAGCCTAAAGTATGCTGGTTCAGGTCCTGCGGACATCCTACCACAGCATCTTAATACGAGGCAATTAACTAGAAATATCCAGCAGTATCACTGGGTTATTAAAACTACTGGGGTAAAAACAAGAACTGAGCAGTTACAATGTAAGGTGTACTTTGTAATTGCTGTACACCACAGAGCATGAGTACATACCACTCATACTAACAAACCTCCACTGTAGAGGGCTTCTGTCAAACAGCTGGCAGGGTCACAGGGGTCACGCCAGACTGTCATTCTAAATGCTAACAACATAGGAAGTGAGACTACAGGTGGTCACATGTTTGCAAACGGAAGGTTGCCAGTTCAGATCCCGAGAGGACCTCCACTGCTTAGCTTTTGAGCTAAATACCCACGATGCTCTAGCAGTTATAAAACGGTGAAGTAGGTGGGGTGAGCCCTGGACTGCAGGAAGCTATGGGGAAGAGGCGGAGTCACCTCACCTGCCGCGGGGCCTGCTGTAAGAGGCGCTCTGCTAGGGCTTTCTGGGCGGCCTGCCTCCGGTGCTCGGCCTCCATCTCCTCACGCGTCTCCAGGCCACACTGGGCCGCCAGCGCTGCCACTCGTGCCACGTGCTCCTCCTTCAGCTTGCCCTCCATGCCCATCAGCTGCCCGTGCAACACACCCAGTAGCCGGCCCTCGGCCTGGGCAGACAGCTGTCCCTGCAGGCGGGGGCCACCCAGCAACGCCGCCGCCAGGTCTTTGTGGATCTGCACACGGCTGCTTTCCAGGCCGGCCGCCGCTCGCAGCAGGTCAGACATGTGCAGGCTGTGGGGTGAACACAAGGGGGCGTCAGGTGGGGAAGTACGGGTACGTGTAGCTACACCGACTACCCTGCAATACACAATGCATAACATGCACGCGACACACACAAGTATCAAACGAATAGCTGCAAAAATAAAATGAAACAGAATCAGAAAAACGGACACTATATACACTCAGATATTCAGGTGCAGACTCCCAGCTGCTCAGTGAAACCCAGAAATTAACCCTCTGGGGTCGACGGCATCGTCGGTGATGCTGTGTATCTTTCTTGTGTATTTCAGTTCATAACTGGCTGAAATCTTATTGTAGAAACATGAACTGCTGACTAACACGAACATTGCTGACTAAATCTGCAATCCGTCTTCTTTTCAAAACGTCCATTGTCGGAAGTATTAAAGTTTTTAAAATTAGGCCAAAAATTAAACCATGTCACCTTACTTTGTTTTACCTGCATCGGGGGCGTGTAGTACCGCTCTTACCCGAAGATCGCTATTCACATTCTAAATAGCCGCATTAGCGCATATTCAGAACGCATTCGCATGGTAATTTGATGAACAGCGCAACCGTGAAACGCGATCCAGATACATCCCCTTCAGCGCCATAAAAGGGGGGGAGGACGTGACCAGGTGTGAATGGCTCATTCATACACATGAGAGCTCCTACATATTCAATGGAAGGAGCCAGAAATACTAACACGAGTTAGGATTTTCTTATTTATTTATCCAACTGAATGTTGCATCTACACCATTTAGTCATCTTCATGTCATTTGGTGATCAGATATCTGGGATCAAAACAAACTGCCATCATTGCTAACTATGTACTTTCATGATGTTTCTGCAAGTGTTCCAAACTGCATTTTGCAATGTCTATACTTTGATGTCAGATTACAAACTTAACATAAATCTGACATATTCACAATATACATTAAAATAAAGATGAGTGTAATGGCAAAACAAATATATAAGAAATAATTTATTTGCCATGAATTAAGTTTATGATATTGAATGAAATGTGTGACCATGCCCCAGTCAATAAAAGTGTGTTCCCTACCCCTAGACCTCAGAGGGTTAAGCAGCTGAATGGCCCAGACATCAGATCAAAAACACAACGAGCTTTAACACTCGAACAATGCTTTTACACAACAAAAAGTTGTGGTAGATTTTTAAAGGTCTAAAAAGAAAAAGACAAACAAACAAATGAAAGCCCTTAAAGGCTGTTTTAGCCCATTATGGGTGATTAAAACACAGCGACCCCTGCAGGTAGACACTGGCAGTGTCAGCTCTCCTTGAGTCTCATTTCCACTTTGACACCAAGCTCACAAAAGTGTGCCCTTTAGAGTTATCCAGCTCCATGGGTTTAAGAGAGGCCCAGCCCCTCAGATACACAAACAAACAAACACAATCCAAAAAGCCTTGCACAAACCCACTGCATTTCAGCCGGGCAGCAGGGAGGTGCAATACTACACATCAGAATAGCTGAGCCAAAAGCAGCTGCATGAGTTCTCGTTTGCATCCACAGCAACAGCAGCATACAGCACCACGCTCCTACCAGGCTGGCACAGAACACAAGCCCAATTGGCTGCGTGACTTTGTACTGTGTTGGAGGGCTTCCTGGGTCAGGCAGAACTGGCAGAACCGGGCCCATTTCTACCTCTGTATGACCAGGAGACAAGGGGACCCATGGATCTTATTACCGGTGAGTCACATGGAAAATCGGTTCAAAAATAAGCACAGGAAAATGGGGATGAAAAGCATCAGCACTGGAATAAAAAGTGACCACGGGGTTGAAGGCATCAGGGGGGGCATACGGCTGAGAGGCAGACCGTCACTCTCCACCCACCCCACCCCCAACCATGGCTACACCTCACCTCATCCACCAGTCAATCTCACCGCTACACCTCGTTTACCTCCCACTTCCCTCCCACCTTTCACAGCTCCTCCGTCGGGCTCCTTACAAACACAAATGTCAAAAGACAAGAAGGCGGCACCTCTCCATTCAGCAGGATTCATTCAGGACCATCTCCATGGCCACAGCTGAACGTGAGGCAGCAGATCTAACATTACTGATTACCCCAGGTGTCCTACTACCTGCTCTCTGTGCCGGGGCCAATAGCTAATGCTGGCAGAAACGAAACCTCGCCAAACTCCCGCATGTCTGCCTGACCTCCACTGGCAACTCAACAGGCAGCCATGATGTCTCTGACCTCCCCAATTATTCATTATTGGTTTCCAAGTAATTTCCCTGGGGCCCGAAAAGCCTGAATCTGAGAATCAAACAGAAAAATTCAGCTTTGAATCTTTGCGTTTCGATGCGTCTCCTGGGCCCTGGGTCCCCGTCCGCAACACTCACCCAGCAGAAACCACGGTTTTACTTAAACATGTACTAATGTATTAAAACCATCTACCTATATTTTTGGTTTTACTGGTTCCAGTGTAATTACCTCAAACTGGCATCATAAAAGTCAAATGTAATGCCAGAAATAATCCACACGGCATGATTTGTGATGTACATTTCTTGTCGAGTATCACCCATCTCTTGCATCATAGGCAAAATTAAAATGCACCCCACATGGCCCAGTTAGTCAGAGGGCGGGAAGAAAAACAATCCTTGAAATGTTATCCTTATGGGGGGGGGGGGGGGGGGGGTGGATGTGAAGATGTAGATCTTCACATCTACAGTACATCTTTGTCATTCTAATTGATTAGTTTGTTTTTTCCTGCCGGTGAAGCTAATTTCGGACTGAATTTGAATGTGGATGGGGAAAGGAGGGAGGAGGGAGGGACCAAGGGGGGGGGGGCAAGAGCTAAGGAGAGTGAGAGTGGAAAAGCTTCACTGCCTAGGGAGGGCGAGCTGTGGACCCTTTCTAAAGAATGAAATAGAGAAGGATGACATCTCGCGGCCATTCATCACAAGCCAGCGGAGGAGATCTGCTGTCTGCCGCCCGCAGAGACACGGATGGACGGCTTTCCCCCACCTGCAGGAGCAGCTACTGGCAGCTCAGGGTGAAGTATGAGGGTTTATCTAACCGTCCATCAGTCTTCAACCGCTTATCCTACTCAGGGTCGTGGGGGTGGGGGGCTGGACCGCGTGGGTTGGGGTTCACCCGCGATGGGTTGCCAATACATAGTAGACTCGTTATACATCATCCTGTGTGGCCAATTCAGAAATGCCAGTTACTCAAACGGCATGGCTTCGGCCGGCTGGAGGAGACCAGCGTGCCACGGGGCAAACATGCAAACGGCACACAGAGAGCCAGGGTGAGATTCAAACTCCGTGCCCTGGAGCTGAGACTCAACAGTGCTTCCCCCTGAGTCACCAATGACTCACTCCTTAAACACTGACACCTAATTTACAGTTTTCATTTTGCCAGGTCTTTGTCTACGCCTTATGCGCAATAACAACATCATAATGTGTCCTATCTAGGGCTCTCGTGATGAGTAGACAGACGACTGAAAATGCGTCAACATCAGTATTTTAAATCGCCACATCGTTTTTTTAAATTAAACTACCTTTATTATTTCTAAAACACTTCAGTTCATTTTAAGAAATGTTTTTCTTCAATATTATTACATAATTATGGGGGTAGTTCATGCCCCTTCCCTGTCCACCTCCCACACCCCTTCCTATTCACCTCCCACACCCCTTCCTGTCCACCTTCCGTCCTCCTCCCACACCCTTTCCTATTCACCTCCTACACCCCTTCCCTGTCCACCTCCCACACCCCTTCCTATTCACCTCCCACACCCCTTCCTGTCCACCTTCCGTCCTCCTCCTACACCCCTTCCCTGTCCACCTCCCTTCCGCCTTCCATGCCCCTCCCTGTCCACCTCCCCCCCCCNCCACCTGCCCCTCCCCGTCCTCCTCCCTCACCCCTCGCCCCTTTGGTCTGTCTCCCATGCCCCCTCTTCTTCAGCCAGCAAGGCTGACACACACACGGAGCCGGAAAGGAAGGCAGCTCTGCTACGCTCCCGGATGTTCCATGCCTCCCAGCCCGAGGCCCCAAGCAAGGAAAGGGGGAACGTGGCCCTATAGGAGATGAGCGTAATGATGGTAATTATCCAAGAGAGAGGAGAGGAAGTAAACCTCACTCTGGGGGTGAGTCGCCCAACTATCAGTCCTGGAATAATTATGCTTTCGGCAGAACCAAGGAGAACCACCAGGGAAAGGGAGGGGGAGTAGAATCGCCACTTGCAAGGCCATGACTCGGAAGCAAGCAGACTACCTGCAAACGTTAATTAAGCCCACAGGCCAGGGCAGAAGTAACACTGCCTTCACATCAGAGGGGAGTCGTTCCAGCACTGGCAGCAAGAATAGCTTCAATATTAAGCTGGATGCACCACACGGTTTATGTGCAGTCAACTCATTTTGAACAGCTGGTGTTTAATAACATAGTAGTGACACTATGGAGAGTTACACAAGGCTTTCCCGGATGTTGCTACCCTACGCCCCCTGGTGGGCATCCTCCCATCCTGCCTGTCTGATTTCTACTGGATTTCATATTACAACTTATGAAAACAAAACTTGAGATCTAATGTACATAATGAAATTTTGTTAGAAACATTCATCATGGCTGCCTGGATCTCTGCGAACCACAGCAGGGGAACCTGAAAGTGCCGTTTATAAAAACCTGTCATGTCCAGGCCACCGACTCACTTCTCTAAGGCTTGGCGCATGTTCTGGGGGTCCTCCAGTACCATGATGTCCACTATCTTGTCCTCAAAGGCCGCCTCCTCCTTGGCGGTCTCACTGATGTTGCAAACGGCATACTCTGGATCTGGGTCGCCGTTCAGAACTCCTGCCCTTCTCTGTGAGAACCCAAAACATTAAGAAAAGAAACAACACAATAAGATTACACAGCTAGTCACAGAAGCAGAGACACAGGAAACATCCTTAGTTCAGCTACACAAACAGGCTCTACAGAGACAGGTGGTGAAGAAAAATGCCCTGCAGTCTTACTGCTTATGCTGCACCCCTTACCCACCTGATCACATGGGCACCTTCATAGCTCCGCTTATCAGTGGGAGAGCTTAGCCAAAGGCACATATACGGGCGCAGCGATAGGGCCACTGGCTCTAGCTGAAAGCTGATTGGCCCTGAGAGATCACCCTCCACTGTCACTCACCGACTCAAAACATATCATCGGCTTATGATACGGTTGGCCCCTCTGTATGAATTGCAGGCTCTCTTGTCCCCCACTTTTAAAGAAACAAGAATCCCCCCTGGCTGTGTTCTTGTACATCACGAACACAAGGGACCCAAGTGAACGATGTCAGACCATCAAACTTGAAGTGGCAGTAAAAAAAAATTACAACTTGAAATACAGTGGTACCTCAGAACTCGAACTTAATCCGTTCAGAACTCCGGATCGAATCCTAAAAAGTTCGAGTTCTGATCGAATTTTCCCCATAAGAAATAATGGAAAATCAATTAATTGGTTCCCGGCCCCAAAAAAATTACACCTAAATATGATTTTTTTTTTTAGCATTTAAACACAAAATGAACCGGATAAAACAAGAAGAGCATATACTGTACTAAACACATCTAAGCACATTTATCAAAACAGTAATTTGTAAAGTAAGAAAATAAATGTATCCAAACAATGTGTAAAGTTAAAATAAAAAAACAATGTGTCCTGCCCCAATCGTCCGCTCCTTCCGTGTGCCACACCCCCTCGTTGACCTCGTGTATAATCCCAGTGTGATCAGCTGTTTCTGGTTATTGTCATTAGTCCTCTGTATTTCGTCCGCGTTTCAGTTTGTTTCCCCAGTCCGGTCATTGTATTGTCCGTATGCGTTTTGCCTGCCTTACCTGTAATTAAACCCCGTATTCCCCGATACCCTGACGTCTGCGCCTTTGTCTCCGTTCAGTCCTCGCTCGGCACAATATTATTATAATTAAATGTATTGATGGTTTATTATTAATATTAAAATAATTTTAAAATCTTTATTTTTAAATGTATTTTATTATATAATAATAAATTACTGTTATTCCCAATATAATACTGTTGTTCACGTTCTAATGAGTTTGAGAACTGAGGTACCACTGTATATTGTGATAATTATCAGCAGTGTTTCCCCTAGGTTTACAGCTTTTTTGGGGGGGGCAGGCGGACAACGACAGGATTCATGCTGTTCATGTGTTTCTTTTAATGACAGCAGTCAATATAACAACTTAACTAAACATCAGAATATTTCTCTTTATGACAATTCATCACCCTGGGAGCATTAAAAAACGCATATATTTTTGTCTGCTTTTCAGGTGGTTGACGTGACATATTTTCCGATGCGCGCTCTGTCCAATGGTGGGAGTGTGCTCACCTGTGTGTCGGGGCGGAACTCCACCATGCACTTTACAGAGAGCAGTAAACGCGCGACCGTGTAGAGACAAAAATGACAAGCTGTTGTGTAAATAAGATAAATAACATAAGGCTTTTTAGTTTGTTTAATAAAAGGACAATATATAGACCTGTTCTATAGGAAAGGGAACCTTAAATGACTTCTGTTTTTTTTTTTTTTACCCGGGCTCCCCGCCACCGGATGGCTGCGCGCCCACCCAAGGAAGGCAGGGGGGGAGGCACCTGAAACCCCCCACCGGCGAGCACGAGCCAGGAACCCCACGGCCACAGAGCCCGGACCACCCGCACACCCCGCGGGGGCCCCGCCAGCCCCGGGGAGACCCGTCCCCCCCCAAGAACCCCACCCGGGGGACCAGGGGGACGCCCCGAGAGCCACCAAGC